GGCTATGGTAACAGTTCCGGGGGAAACTGTAGGTAAGAAGAAGGGCTCCAGTGCCTTGTTTAGGAGGTGTCATTCCACTTGTGCAGTCACATTTCAGCATCCAGTTGTCACTTCAACGCAGGATCTTGATCTGAACCAGAGATCTAGGCTAGAGCGGAATGCATAGGACCAGTCTTGGAGCAAGGAATGACGTGGTGTGGGACCAAGCCTGGGGCCCTGGGGTCCAGCCCTGAGAGGACTCAGGTCCCACCACACAGACCTTTCAGCTTCATTTGCCACCTTTTTGAGTGCACACACATACACACACACACAAATGTTCTTCAAGGGCTGTATCAGAGGTAAATACCCACTTAAAGACATAGGAAGAAATTTCAGGCAAATGGGGTCCCAGGAAATGGGTAGGGGAAGAAAAGAGCCAAGTGACCTAGACTCAGGAAGGCAGAAGTAGCCCAGGGTCCTGGAACAAGGTCTGGTATTTGGTGAGCAATCAGGGGAGGCCCAGCTGCCCGACTGAGGCCTGACAGCATCTTCTGACTTCATCAGGAAAGACTTCAACGAGATATGCAGAATTTCAGAGGTGCAAGGGGCCCAACTGATTTTAAAAGTGAAGAAGAGAATTTTAATGATCTCCTCAGAGGCCCCAATTTTTAGATTCTGTGTTTGTCCAAACCCACTGGCATCATAATCCCCACCCTCCTGGTGCCACCTGAAGCTGGCATTGCATGGGCACAGGAGGAAGGAAGTGGCCAGTCTGCAGACACAGGGAGCCCATGTCCTGCTGGTCCAGGTGAATAGCTTGCCTATCCTCCCGACATCCCTGGGTTGGCTGCTGCTTCACTTCTCCCCCCCAGGCCTAGCAGCTCCTCCAGCTCCAGACTCCTGTCTTCTAACTGAACCTGAAGAAGCTGTCCCCAGGTCTGGGCCTCTTGCGGGCACTGCCAGCCTCAGAGCAGCTCCACAGTTTCCAGCCCTGACAGGGACTCTTTCTTATAAGTGGTCATGTGCTAGGGGTATGGGACGTTAAAGGAGGTCCACACCCGGACATGTGGGGACCGTGGATTCAGGCAGCAAGCTCCTGCCTCCATCTTCTCAAGAGGGTCTGAAGCCATCCATCCCCCTTTCCCCCGACACCCCCTCCACTCAGTTCAAGGCACTGGACCAAGCCATTCCACTTCTTTACTTCTCCAACTAAAACAAAACGCACATTGCCCCACTTCCTTTTTCCTCTCACCAGAGCTCCGGACACACACGCGCGTGCACACACACACACACGCTCACACACACATTCTGAGTCATGCACATGCACATTCACACACCCCAGTGAAAGCACACCTCACATTCTCAAACTCACACCCAGGCTGGCTCCTTTTACAACAGGTCCTGGCTGCTCACATCTCAAACCGGTTCTCACTCATGCCCTCAGATTCCAGAAAACAATCTCACTGCGGACTGCTGATGCCATTCTTCTTGCTCTACCTGCAGGGATTCTGACCTCAGTCCCTCCTCTCTCATTCCACCCTCAGAGACTCAAGGCAATGAAAGGTGAGGGGTGGACAACAGGGAAAGAGTCTGTGCTCCCCACCCCTGGCTCTCCCCACCCTGGGATATATCACTGAAAGAAGAGAGGGCATTCCTAAGGAATTTCTAAGCAGCCCACCCCACTTTGCCACCCTTCTGGAGAAAAGGGGGTAGGGGCAGGTTTAGGAGGAACTGATTAAAGATCAGGCTCCAAGAGTAGGGGAGGTATCTTTCTGTCTCCAGTATGGCCTGGACAGAGCACAGGCAGGAGCCAGCTGCCCATGGAGCCACCCTCGCCCGCTGACACGGTTATGGTTTTCATTTCATATTTTGGAGGGAGGGGCTAGGAGGAACAGTCCCCTCACTGTAAGAGCTGGCCACAGGAGCCGAGGGAAGCGGGGAGGAGAGGAAACAGCCACATTAAAGAGGAAGAGAGGGGTGGGGGGAAGAAAGAGGGAGACACATACACCCAGACAGGGACCCGGAGAGGTGCATGGAGACAGAGAGACACTGTTCACGGCCAGATGAACGCTCTCAGTCCCGGGATGGATGGTGTTACTTAAAAAGTCTAAATATGAGGCTTTATCAAAATTCTATCCCGAACAAGAGGAGAAAACTACCAGGTAAACTGAAGGGCCACGCTGGCTCCCCCAGAGCCCACCCTGGGGACAAGTTTCCCTGAAGGCCGTGAGACCTTTTCATTCAGCTGTAACCTGAGCCCTGTGCAAGGATTAGGTCTTTTTAACCAAGGCGGCCACCCCCCCACCCCTCAAAAAAGCAAAGCAAATTAATGCTTCTAAGTTAACAATTATCTTGGTTATCCAGTCTGTCTACTTTAAGACACACAGACAGGCACTTGAAAAAACACTCAAAACCATGTACCCTCCTGCTCACTCTCTCCTACTCCCACCAGCTGACCCGCCCAATCATCCAGACCCAGTTCTCACAGGCGCTAAAACATTAGCGTTCACACTTAGTAACTAGTCACAACCCAGCTATGTCCCATGTGGGTGATCGTGGTCACACACACACACACACATCTCTCACCTTTACACTTAGGGATCACTTTCTTGATTCCATTCTCCACCCCATTCCTCACATGACTTTGGCTTTCCCCACTGTAGGGATCTCAGATGAAAAGAGACAGAGACAGATAGATCCCTGGAGACACAGTAATTGTGCAGGAGACTTGCCAAGGGTATATGTATTTTGAAGATCTTTTAGAGCTTCGTTTAAAAGCACCTGGCGCCAAAGGCGTGCTTTCTAGCACTGATGATAGCTGGGAGATATGCTCAGGGGCAAGGAAGGCACCTTTGAAGCCCACAGCACTCTTGTCTGGGGTAAGACTGTAAGACTGCCCTGATCCAACGCAACTGCTCTTCCTGAAGCATCAGCCTACAAATTTGGATCCAGAGGCATCTCTCTAATTCAGCAAACCTCTGGCAGAGGGGGTTTATAGATTTCCTGAATAGCAGGGTCAATGAGAGGCTTCCATTCTATGCCAAGCTAGTCTCAGGAGAAGGAAGGAAGGAAGGAAAGGCAGGCAGACAGGCAAACTACAGCCAGTCAAAGCATGTGTGGCCCAAGTGAGATAAGCAGTGACCAAAACTTAGTCCAGAAGGTTCTTGAGGGTAGAGTCTTCACTCAGCTGCATGTCCCCCAGCACCCAGAAGGATGTCCAATGAAAAGGGGAGCCCTGGAGTGCCTTGGAGGGATTCTGACTCTGTCTCTGGAACACAGACTGATCTCCCTGGAAGATGGGCTGAGCTCAGGCTTGAGAGTCTTGGCTTCGTGGCACCTGTCCCTTTTAGGGGTCTCCATCTGCTCCTGGGACTCCTTTGATGCACTGCTTCTCCTTTTGCACCCAGACCCCCACCCTACCAATTAGGCCACTACAGACACTGGCTCCAACTTGAAAGAGGCCCTTATCTTGTCTTTAGATTACTGCATGAAATCTGTTCCTTCCTTCAGACTAAACTCCCTAGCTAATTCCATGTTATGAGTAAGTCAGCACGCACTACAAAAGCCAGCTTTGTTTATGAAAACACAAGCAAATCCACAGTAAGGAGAGGGGCTGCTCCCAGGCTGGGTGTTGGTAGTGGTGGGCTGTCTGGAACTAGGACTGGAGAAGAGGCAGTTTGGGGTTAGAATGGAGTTGGGGTGGGGTCTGGTATTTGACAACTGAGGGTCTCTAGTGTTTGGTTCTATTAAAGGACAGACTGGACAGGGCAGGGGTTGGTTGAAGAGGCAGTGTTTGGGGGAGAGAAGGGTGATATAGATATTGCACAGAGCGGGAGCCCATCTAGTCCAGAGCAGCTTAGAAATCAAATGCTCAGGCCCCAGGACACAGTGACCTAACTGCCAGACACTCAGGCTTCCCCAACTCCCAAGTTCAACCTCCCTCGTGGCCCAGCCACCTCCTTACCCTGGCTGGCTTTAGGAGCCCCTGGGACAATAGGTAGAATCATAAGCTCCTAGGCAAAACCTTGCCAGGAGGAATTTTCTTTTTGTGGGTATAAATCTCTTTAGGGTGAGGACACCATAGGGGGAGGAGTGCAGCAAGAGGTTAAGGGGGAGGGGAGGCTGTCCTCGGAGAACTGTGGGACACCAGCCTGGTTTCTGCCAGCACAGCCTTGGACTGGCCAGTCGATGAGCTCAGGGTCAGGGACGGGGGCGGGAGGGCCTCCCAGTCACTTTCTTTAATTCCTAGAGGGATCTGTCAGAGCTCCCCAGCCTGGAATTTTACTTTGTTATTTTAATGCAATTCTGACCTGGATTTAAATGGAATTGGAAACCCTGGGCCTTAATAAATAAATATTATGATAAGAAATGAAAGCCATGCAAGACGAAAGAGATTTCCCCCCAAAAGGCAGAAACACAACATTCTTGCCAGAAGCTAGTCACAAAAATTTTCTTCTCTTTAGCCCCCTACCATCCAGTGAGGGACGAGTTGGTTTTTCTATGAAGGATCCCCTTTTTATTTAACATTTTTCCACTGAGAAGACAGCAACTTCGAAATTTCTGTCTGACTTTGCATGACGGCTGGGGATGTGGGGAAGAATTCTATGACTTGGCTGAAAAGTTTTCATTCCCTCAGTCTCTCCAGGCCACAGCTTAAGTTTCTGGCAATGTTTGAGAGAAGATTCTGACTTTGGAGGACGAGAAGTCCTTCGAAGATGCTAGAGCGTGGCAGTGAAGTCTGGTCAGAATGCTGAGGTGCGTGGTCACTTCTGCCCCCCCCCCCCCCCCCCCCCCCCAAACTTCTCTCTCATCCTCTCTGCCCCTGGCTCCTCCAGCGTTCCCCCCTCCCCGGGACGCGGCGCCCAGAGGTCCGGTCCCCAGCCGGGGAGTTGGGGAGCACAGAGCCCGGTCCTGACAGCAGCCGGCTTCCCAGCACCTGCCCTGCCCCTCGCCAATCTTGCCCTAGCCCTCGGGCCCCGCTGCCCCCGCAGTCCCGCGGCCGCGCGCCCCTCCTTCCTTACCTTGCGCAGCTTTGCTGTGCTGGGCGGCGCGGGCATGGACCAGTAGGACTAGCAGGCAGAGCCCGGGCACGCGCCCCGAGCCCATGGCTGGAGCTTCTCCGGGCAGCGGGTCCGCTGGGGCTGGTCTCGCAGCCCCGGGAGGGCGGAAGCCGGCGGGGGCCCCCTGTGCGCCGGAGGGGGAGGGGAGCGGCGCCCCGCCGAGGCCGGGCCGGGGCTGCGGGCGTGGGGCGCGGACCGCGGCGCCCTCGGCGGGAGGCTCCCGAAGCTGCCGGCTTCTCCCGGCCCGACGTCGAGGCGAGCGAGGCGAGCGAGGCGGCGAGGGACCAGGCGAGGGGCGCTCGGCGCAGCTGACGGAGGGGAACCCCCGCCCTCTTCAATCCAGCCGGGCTCTGCTAGCGGCGGCGGCGGGACTGCTGCGTATAATCCCACCCAATTCCCAGCTTCGCCCGGAGGGAGCTGCAGCCGGAGAGCGCGCAGAGCCCGAGCAAGGGACCTGAGAAAGGGGAGGGGAAACGCAGAGCCAGAAACACGCCCTTTCTGCCTCTCTTTCTTCCTCTCTCGCTCTTTCTCCGTCTCTCAGGCTCCGTCTCTTTTTCTTCGCCTTTCTCCTCCTCCTCCTCTTTCTCCTCCTCTCCTCGCTCCTTTTCGTTTTCTTCCTCCTCCCCCTCCTCCTCCTCCACCACCTCCTTTTTCGTGCCCTTTTTTCTTTCAAATGGGGCCTCGGCGCGGCGGCCGCTCCCCCTGCGCGCCCGGGCGCGGCGGCCCCCTCCCCAGGCTGCCGGGCCGCTGCCTGCAGGAATTTACAATCCGGCGCTGGGGGAGCGGGCCCGGTCTCCATGGAGACGGCTTCCCCGGGAGCAGGGAGGTCAGGCGCAGACCGCGCACAATCAATGGATCAATGCAAGCCCCGCTCGGCTCCAGACCAAACAGCACCCGGCTCCGGCTCGTCCTCTCTCCCCGCAGAAAGAGCGGGGGAGCGAGGGTGCGCCCCCGCGCTCGCACGCGAGGAGGACGAGTGGCGCAGGTTTACACGCACACCTCCGCCAGGAGACAAAGAGGGCGCGAGGTACCCAGGAGGCTGGGGCAGACGTGAACGCGTGCGAGCTCAGGCGTACCCACCAACACAGCCTGACACGCGGTTCGCAGCCAAATACTACCTCGAATTACACAGATCAACTCCGACTCCGGGCCAAGTAACGTCCTCTCAGCTCTTACTCACATGTCACCCCCACCTTCTGGACTCAATCTCCATACCTAGATCTGAGTCCACTTTGAGGGCTAAGAAGAAAATAGCCCCCCTCTTCTCCCTGCTGAAACTGCCAGTTCCAGGGCAGACCCTGCTGGGAGGTAAGGCCTTGGAGGTGAGCCCACTGAGCCATACTCTCCATATAGACAGGGCTCACCTGTATGCACTCTCGTGTGTTTAGCACAGGAGCAAAAGTGAACCCACAGGACCTGCCTATATGTATAAGCACAAAAACACAAAGGGGCAGCCCCCTCCTCCAAAAAGAAGATCCTTCATGCCTCTACTATAGAGACAGCAAGAGATATGAAGGGGCAAACTGTGCTGAAGAAGCAGTGTCCCCCAACTCTGAACACTGCCTCCTCACCTGCTCATGTGCTTTGCATCTTCTCACCTTGCACTGTTGGAGAAAGAGCAAAGATCTTTTGAGAGTGGTGAGGACTTTCTTGGAGTGTGGGGCTGTAGTCATGCAGACTGCACCATGCCCCAGGCAGCTGTTCATGCTTCAGAGCCAATTTTCTTTAGGGTACAGACCCAGACTAGTTTCCCAGGGTACCCAGGAGCATGGGGCAGTGACCACAATATCCCTGAGGATGCTCAGTTCCCAGACCCTTGACAGCTAGTATCAGCTGGAGTGAGGGGTGGGTTTTGTCAGCAGTCTCCCTATTTGGCAAGGGGGAAAGAGCTGAATGCTTCCTCTCCAAGGGATTGAGTGGGAAAGTAGAGGATGGGAATAGGCTCAGGCTATTGTCCTGGGTCTATCTGGGATGAAGATTACACTAGGCAAGTCCCATCCCAGTGGGCCTCGGTTTCCTCATTTAGAAAATAAGAGGGTGGGGTGGATTTACCAGTAGTGGAAAGGAGGCAGTACTCTCTGAAGCCTGGGGAAGGAGACCTTGAGAAGCCTTGGAGCACGGTGTGAGATGACCATGGGGATGCCAGCACTTTGGACATGGATGGTGGTGAGGCCACAGAAAGTTTGGGTCAGATGATCTCTGAGGTCCCTTCCAGCCCTGTCATTCTAAGATTCCCTCCCTCCCTCATTCCACTGCAAAACCCCTCCCTTTGCAGCAGCTTTGCCTGCTGCCACCAATTATGTGTAGGGCTGGAGGACAAGTGCAAACTTGCCATCCTTTTTGCCCCAAACAAGAGAGTGGTTTAAAAAAGAAAGAAAGAAAGGAAGAATTGGAGGTTGCCAGACGGTGCCTGTGATCTTCATGAGGGCACAAGGAGAAAGCCGAGGAGCCCCAAGGTGGAGAGGGAAGATGGTACTCTGCCTTGCTTTGCTTTGTCTCTGCCTTGTTTGGCCACTAACATGAGCTCCTCTGGGTCCCCTGGGGGATGGTGCTGCAGCCCACCTCTACAGCTACAGGGGGCAATGAGGATTATGTAGGGGTAGGTTATAGGTTTTCTGGAATCTTCTCTTCAGCTTGATTTCTGGTCTCCTGAGTGTGGGAATTGCCCTTTTTCGAAGGGAGGCTCAGATGGGTTGCCCCACCTAAGCCACTACATCTTTAGAAGGCTAGGGATCTTTTGCCCTAGGTTCCTTTTGTCTCCTGCCACCAGTTTTCCCTCTGATCACTTCCTCTGCTCCTCTAGGACCAAGAGAGCTCCAGCCCCACATTCGCTTTCTGCACATCTCCTTCCCCAGCACGCCCAACCTGGTTCCAACCCACCCCCAGCCCCTCAGAAGATCCTGTGGGGGAAGAGGCAGGGATTATACCACGGAGACACTGAATTGGGGCGCTGGTCACATTGCCTTCTGCTTTGTCCACTTCTGCAGGTTCTTACACTTAGTGACTGGAGAAGATGATGAGGAAGGGATAAACAGATGACTCTAAAAAGTGCCACTAGAAAATCAGCAGCTCAGAGAACAGTGTGCAGTGTTCCCTGAGCCTCCCACAGTCATCTCTCAGGCTGCAGTTTGCCCAGGCTTCGTTTCCCTTCAGGGATGCTTGTGGCACTCGTTTCTTTCAAATGTCTCCTGCAAATATATTTGGGGAGAGGACCATTGAAGGGTATAACTGATAAATCTTGGTACAGAACCTCTTAGAGACACCTCTGCCAGGGACCCACCATGCTCAGTGACTTCCCCTCACTGGCCAGGTTTCCTTCCTTCCATGAGAGTTTGCTTTTATTCTGGGCTCCTTGGCTTCCCCATATGTAAAATGCGTCCCATGATCCTACCTTGGCAGGCAGTATATTCAAATGGGAAGCAGGTAGGGGCTAGAACAGATTGTCCGTAGGTCAATATTAGGCCCCACTATTTCCCAGCCATCTATCCTGGCAAGTAATTTCACTTCTATGAGCCTCAACTTCCCCATCTGGAAAATGGTTATGGTCATAAAACCTCAAAGACAAAGTCTGCACACCAGTATCTAACTGTATGGGCTTTAGACAAATGGTGAGGGGCGGGGCTCAAGTAGGCTTCTGTTATTTTCTACCTGCATGACCTCTGGCAATTTTCTCCATCCTAGTGAGCTTCATTTTCTCATCTGACAGTGGGGATAAAAACCTCATAGGGAGCTGAGGTTGTGGCTCAGTGGCAGAGCTCTTGCCTAGCACATGTGAGGCACTGGGTTCAATCTCCAGCACCACATAAAATAAACAAAAACCTTATAGGGAGCCAGGCACGGTGGCACACACCTGTAATCCCAGTGGTTTCGGAGGCAAGCGGATTGCAAGTTCAAAGCCAGTCTCTGCAACTTAGCAAGGCAGCTCATTGAAACCCTGTCTCAAAATAAAAATACAAAAAAAGGGCTGAGGATGTGGTTCAGTGGTTAAATGCCCCTGGGTTCAAACACATTAAAAACAAAACAAACAAACCTTATAGGGATATGATATTAAGTGAGATAACATATGGAAAACACCTGACACATAGTAGGCATTCAGTAAGTGGAGGTTATTGCTATTTCTACCACTTCTCAGAAGGATCAAAAGACACAGCGTTTGATGGTCAAGGTATAACAGTACCTGGGAAGACGCAGTGTTGGCCAAGCTAGGCTTTGACGCTGCTGGGTTAAGTGCAGCAAACTGGGCTTGATTCTTACCACCTCTAACAGGTTCCTGTCTGTCATGCATTCCTACTGAGAAGGTTCCAAAAATTCCGTGCATTCCAGCAAACTGCCTTTGTCTGCAGAGCTTCCACATTATGGAGACTGAGAAGGATATTCACCTGCCAGATGGGTAGCGCCAGAATCTCTTCTTCCTTGCTCATTTGCACCTCCTATTCTGCCTTAAGAAAGCACCTCTACACTGAGAGACAAATTGGAGCTGATAGTTGCCAGCTGTGTGCCCTGCACTGTAGCCTCTGGAGTTGGTGGGATTCCAGGGATGCGCCACCATGCCTGGCCTTAAATTTTCTTTTGAGACAGGATTTCACTAAATTGCTTAGGGCCTTGCTAAATTGCTGAGGCTGGCTTTGAATTTGTGATCCTCCTGCCTCAGTCTCTCCAGCCACTGGATTTACAGGTGTAATTACAGGTGTGCAGCACCATGCCCAGCTACACTCTTGCCATTCTCATTGTCTCATCTATTGGGGCAGGCCAAGGGTCACAGACCAGCCCCTCCACATGCAGGGCAGTACCTCGCTCTGGAGGATCATGCAACAGTAGAACTGCAAACGACTTCAGCCATTATGTGTGTCAGCTGATGAGAGGTCCCATGACTTGCCCAAGGTCACACAATGTATTGAAAAGGCAAATTAGAAGCAGAATCCATCTCACTTCTGAATCCTGGATCAGTGCCCCTTAGAGCTGCTGTGACCCCCTTCCTAATCTTTCTCTTCCTTTCCTGATGATTTGACCAGTTTTCAGTCCTTTCTTGAAGTGGTACTTGTCTAAGATCCACCCCCTCAAGCCCCACTGTTCTATGCTCTTGCAAGTATGGGGGGTGGAAAAAAAGAAAAAGAAAGAAAAAAATAGAAAATATGGAGGCTAAGTAACACCAGAGTGTGGTTTCAGATCCCTCCAAATCACAAGGCAAATCCCCCAAATGCCACGAGTCTTGGCAGGAGAGCAAGGTTTGCATGTGCAAAACTGAATATCTAAATGCAGGATATCTGAATGACATTGAAGCATGTAGGTTAAAAAATGCTGTTAAAAGTCAGAGGAAGTCAGATGTAATGGCGTACACCTGTAGTCTCAGTGACTCAGGAGGCTGAGGCAGGAGGATTACAAGTTCCAGGCCAGCTTCAGCAACTTAGTGAGAACTT